CTGTCGAGGCCAGGGAGGGACAGTTCAGGTTTGGCCTGGCAGAGAGAACGAGGGAGGGCGGGCCTGCCTCTGGGGGGCACAGCCCAGGGAGCAACATGGCACAGCAGAATTGGACTGGGAATTCTTCTATCTAGGACATTATTAATATCATAATTGGAATAATGATTGCTATTGTTCTGTGATTCTGATCAATCAGGAAGCACGTTGGAGCCAGTGTGAGCTCAGACGTGGCCCCAGCCCTGGCCTTCCTCGCTCTGTAGCACTGAACTTGGGGCCTCCGTTTCCCCATTGTGCAAAGGGCCTGACCCCCCCCCCCCCCCTCCTGGGTAGTGAGGCAGGCCCTGCTCTGACCCTGCATTTCGGAAGGGAATCACAACCCACGTCAGCACCAACCTCAGTCCCGGCCCTGCGCTGCCCATCCTGGAGTACAGATGTGCCAAGTGTAGGAGGCTTGGGGCAGGTCCCTCTGCCCTGTCACTGCCAGATGGCTGTGTCCTTCTGACAGTTTGGAGGACAGGGTATCTGCCCAGCTGGGCTGGAAGGGACCCAGTAGTGGGCTGGGAGACTTGAAGGTGAGAAAGGAGCCCATTGGCTGCATCATAGAAGAAATGAAGGAAATGAGACTGGCTATGTAACCAGAGCCAGATCTTTAGTCTGAAGGTGCTAAGACTTAATCCTGAGGGAAATGAGGAAGGTTCTTGGGAGAGGGAGAGGGACAAAAAGCATCCGGTATACCTGAGATCCTCTCCTATTAGTAGGCTTTGTTCTGAGTCAGGATGATCTTAGGATTCACTCCTCAAGGGACCGCAGGGATTTGGAATGGGCAAGGGAGGGAGGAGAATGTCACATCTGTGGGGGATAGTGAAGAGGTGTGAGAGAGATTATCTGTTCTGGAGGTAGCCCATTTAATGTTGCCAGTAAACCACTGCATTTTCTGCTCACTTACCCGAAGTGAAGTGCTATCACTAAGAGGAAAGTGAGGTTCAGAGAAGTTCAGGACTAGCCTAAAGACTCAGCAAGAAAGCGGCTTGGTCCAGAGCCCCACACCCTTCACCCCAGATTCCGCTGCCGGGGAGCCTCCTGGGCTCTTCCCCATCTGTATTTCCCTGGCTCCAGGTCTCTCCATGAGAAAGGCCAGGTTCTGGGTGGTGCTGAGCGGCGGGTGGGGAACGTCAGGATCTGAAACCGCTGTGGCCCTCTTTGCTAGCTACGGGGACCAGGTGCAGCACTTCAAGGTGCTGCGGGAGGCCTCCGGGAAGTACTTCTTGTGGGAAGAGAAGTTCAACTCCCTAAATGAGCTGGTTGACTTCTACCGCACCACCACTATTGCCAAGAGGCGGCAGATCTTCCTTCGAGATGAGGAGCCGCTTCTCAAGGTAGGGGTCAGGAGGCGGGGTGGGGTGGGGGTAGGGAGCAGGAGGCAGGGAGTAGGGGGCTGGGTTGGGGTAGGGGAGGGGTTGGAATAGGGGGAGGGATTGGGGTGGGGGTTGGGGGCGGGGTTGGGGTCCGGATTGGGGTTGGGGGCGGGGAGGGGGGGTGCTCTTCCTGCCATCTGTGTCAGAGAAGATGCCCACCATGTGCAGCACACAGGCCTGGTCTCCCTTCCCACTCCAGCCGGAGGAGGGAGCAACCCAGGTTCCAAAGGGACATTCTGGTGGCAGCTGAAACAAGCAAATAGGGAAAAGGGGAAAGATGAGGGACGCCAGGTAAAGCCCATGGGACAAACGGCAGTCTGGCTTGTTGTCAGCTCCTAGAATGGTCTGCTGCTTACAGCTGGTGCTCAATAAATGTTTGTCGAATGAATGGAGTGAGCCCACCGAGTGCCACACACCGCGTCAATCCCATTATACACATGAGGAAACTGAGGCCACATACCCGGAAGGCTCAGTCCAGGTTTCTGCTCCCCAAGGAGGAGGTGGCCTTGGACAGGGTGTTGGGCAGTATGAGCACTTGTGGGCGAGGACCTGGCTGGGCACAGGGTGTGCGTGTGTGTGTGTGTGTGTGTGGGTCCATCATACCTTGTCCTCACAATAACAGCAATTTGCCAGCCAGCCCTTTCATCAAGGGGCCCCAAGGACTAGCTGTCACTCTTATTAGGATGACAACACCAGCCAACGGGGTTATTAGCCCTGACATGCTGTTCTTCTTGGAAACAGGGGTGTTGGCAAAGCCTGGGGCAGGAGGTCAAGACATGAGGACATTTGAACTTGGGCTCTGCAGAATATATGGAGAGCATGATCATAGGAAGGGCCTGGGGAGGGGACGGAGCCAGCCCTGCAGAGAAGTTCCAGTCCTGCAGTTCCCAGCCCCCTTAAAGCCTTGCCATGCGACCTGAGGGCCAACTCAGCCCTCAATTTCCCATCTGCCCAATAGGATTAACCCTGGGGTTTGATATGCCCCCAAAGAGACTCAGGAGGTCCCCACTAGTGCATCCTCTGAAGGGCTTCTCCGCCTGACCCTGAAGAGTGCCCAACAGTGAGCTCCCAGCCCGGGGACTCCTCTCTAGCTGGGGCTCTTGCTCCCAGATACCCCTGCTGCTCACAGCTTGGATCAGCTCTACCCTGGGAGGCAGGATGGAGGTGAGGAGCCTACTGAGGTTCCAGAGCCCCCACAACCTTGCTCTGGCTTGGACCCCATCCGGGGGTGAGTGCAGAGCTGGCTTAGTTCCCTGGTACCCAGGACACCTCCTCCTTCTGGGCAGAGAACGGTTAATTAGAGTCTCTGCTGATCCTATCGCCCATCCTGGATGAGAGTCTGTAGGCTGAGATGAAATCCTGGTGGGACAGGCAGGGCCAGGGTGCTGGATGCCATAATCATGGCACCAAAAAGATGTATTGTAGAGAGCTCCTGTCTGCTGCTGTTCCAGAAATGAGGCCCACAGAGGACAGGGACATGCCCAAGGTCATATTTGGGGCAGGACTGAACCAGACCTGAGAGCTGGGAACAGCTTCAAGGGGCAATCATATTCCTCAGAGTCTGACCAAGGGCAATAGTAGTAAAGACCACTCTTAGCTGGACATCATTTTACAGTTTATAAGGCCCCACCTGTGATTTCATGCCTGGAATCAAAATTTCTTTTCTTTTTTTTTTTGGTATTGGGAATTGAACCAGCACTTAACCACTGAGTCACAACCCCAGTGCCTTTTGGTTTCTCTGAGTTGCTTAGGGCCTTGCTAAATTGCTGAGGCTGGCTTTGAACTCGTGATCCTCCTGCCTCAGCCTCTCCAAGCCGCTGGGATTACAGGTGTGTGACACCTCCCCTGGCTGGAATCAAAATTTCGTGTCTGTTGTAGAGATGGGGAAATGAGACCAGAGAAAGGCAGGTAGGGACCCTCTCCACCCTAGGACTTAGCTGCCCTTCCCCATCAGCCCTATGGTCACAGAAAAATTGGGTCAGTCTATGTTGATGAAGGGTCTGTGAAGCAGGCAGGCCATCAGGGGTCTGACCCAAGTGGAACACCCATTGGGTGAGGTGGTCACCCATCTGGCTTCAGTCAAGATCTGGATGTAGTCGACTGGGATGCTGCCCCAGCCTGCAGAGCCCACTCACTTATGTGGGACCCTCCTGGGGAGAGTCTCCATCAGGACAGCTGGGTCTCAGAGCTTCAAAAAACACCCCACTAACCTCTTCTTCCCCTCACAGTCGCCCCGGGCCTGCTTTGCCCAGGCCCAGTTCGACTTCTCAGCCCAGGACCCTTCACAGCTCAGCTTCCGCCGCGGTGACATCATCGAGATCCTGGAGCGCCCAGACCCGCACTGGTGGAGGGGCCAGTCCTGTGGGCGTGTTGGCTTCTTCCCACGGAGCTACGTCCAGCCGGTGCATCTGTGACCTCATGGGCAGCGGCAGAGCCGGCAGCCCCTTCGGCCAAGAGGTCTTTTTGCAGGAACTGGGGTCCAGAGAGAGGACCTGGACAACCCCACTCCAGGTCACATTGGGCTCAGCAGGAAGCCTTGCATTGAACTTGGCCTCCTAACTGCCTTGTGCCTCTTCATACAGATTGGGACACGCTCCCAGCACCCCAGAACTAACTACTGTGCTTAGAGACCAGGTTGCTCTTGAGGACTTCCTATTGGCTGCCAGTTGTGTGGCATCAGGGGGCGGGGTCTCTGGAGGCCCCACCCACATGCTACTATCAATGGCTCAATTCCTAGGTTGCACAGACTTGGGGCTCAACCCAGAGAACCCTAGGCTTGGTGCGTGGGTTCACCTCGGGCAGACCACTGCTGGGTCTGTCTACCCCTCCCTCAAAAGGCACTTGGATTTATACAGGTGGCTCAGCCCAGAGCACCTGGGATTACTAGGTAAACAGGAGCTTTTCTTGCAGAAAAAATGACTTTGGGCTCCATCTGGGGCATCCAGCCCCCAAAGATGCTTTGGGGTGGGGCGAGAGGACCTGAGGACACGGGAAGGAGCTGGAAGAGGTAAAAGAAAAGAAGTAAGTCCTCTTCAGTTGGCCTTGTGCACACAGACAAGCTCTGAAGAGCCAGGCCCTAGGCCCAGCCACATGGGATACCTGGACTGCACGGGATTATGTTTGTGCAGGTTCTGCCTGGACCAGGGCCCTGGCACTCTGGGAAGGCAGGGCAACCTGCAGGCCAGATGGGATGTTGGGTTTTTTTTGATGCCCTACAGGACCAGAGTTGGCAGGCAGCCTAGGTAGGGGCCAGCCTGAATGAAGATGGAATGGGGAGCCCCCAAGCAGAGCCTGGGCACCTTTGGGAGCAGGACAATTGGAAGTGGGACTTAGGAAGGCCCTGAATCCTAGGCTGATGGAGGCACCATGAGCAGGGGAGGAAGAGAGGAGGTTCCTTCCATTCCCTGGAAGCAAGCTGAGGGAGGAGCCCTGAGGGAGGGGTGCCCCCCCCCCCGGTGTTGTAGGCAGGTGGGGTTCTCCCTCCCTCCAGGGCTGGTCCAAGACCCTTCAAGCCCAAGACCCTGGCAAACCCCACTGCTCCTGACCTGGACCTGTGTATTCAAAATAAAAACCATGAAACCAATATTAGAATGTCCATCAGAAATCTCATTTTCTTTCCAATTATGACTATTTTGGTGCTATTTTTGAAATATCATGTTCTTTTATCCCCCTAATTTTTCAGGGCACCTATTTTGCTAGCCCCAGAGAATCACTGAGCACTGATGCACAGGGTAGCCATGAGGGGAGTCCGTCCCCTTCTGGGGTCAGTGTTCACTTTGAGAGGGGGTGGCCCTGAGGACTCTGGGCCCCCACCTTCCTACCTAGGGTGGCAGGATCAGGCAAAATAGGCATAAAAGAAGATGTTGACGCACATGAGCAGGATGGCGTTGAAGCCACACACACGGGCCCAAAAGGTTCGTTTCTGGTGTGGTTGGCTGTCACCTGGAGGGGTTTCAGGAGGGACAGGTGAGCAACACAGGCTTCATCAGGCACCATGCCTCTCGCTTTGGTGCTGAGAGTCACCCATTTACCTGCTTTGGCTGCCAGGGACAGATCCCGAGCCAGGGTCCACCAGGTAAGATTCTCAATCTGCAAGGAATGAGCAGGGATGGAGGTGTGGCAGGGCAAGGGCAAGCCCCACGCCAGTCAGGGGTCAGAGACAGAAAGATGAAAGTCGAGTTCAAAAAGGCCACAGAGGAGCAGGGTGCAGTGGCTCAGGAGGCTGGGGCAGGAAGATTGCAAGTTCAAAGCCAGCCTCAGCAACTTAGTGAGGCCCTGTCTCAAATAAAAAAATAAAAAGGGCTGGGGATGTGCTTAGTAGTTAAACGCCCCCTCCAAGTGTCCCCCTACCCCCCATAAAAGGCACAGAGGTCAGGGCCATCCAGGGGTAGGGATCAAAGGCTAGAAAATTCTGGAGTCAGTGAGGATCAGGGATCCGAGTGGGACCAGAGTCAGAAATTGTTAGGCGTCAGGTCAGGGATGACCTGTGGGGCTCAGGGGTCAAGGCAGGCTCACCTGAACAGTCTGCGGGGGTGAGGTCAGTAGGCTTCCGGCTGCCGCGACAGCACCCGTGAGCACAAACAGGGCAATGGCGAAGTGCAGGTAGTGGATGCTGCTGAGGATGGCTGGCCGCGTGTCGGGGTCACCACAGGGGGGCACTGGGTTCAGGAATTCTAGCACCAGTCTCAAAGCACCCAGCACCAGCCCTGCCATCAGGCCCCAGAAGGCCCCCTGGGGAGGAAGGAGGCAGGGCTTGTGGGAGGAAGACCAAACCCCCACCTCCTGCCCCAGGCAGCCGGCAAAGATCTAAAGGGACTCTAGCCCATCTGCAGGCGGACGGGAGGTCTCCTAGCTGAGCCTGCTGGCCTGCATCCTGTCCTTCCCACCCACCTGCTCATTGGCACGTGGCCAGAAGATGCCCAGGATGAAGACTGCAGTCACTGGGGGGGCCAGAGAGCTGGTCACAGACTGCATGTAGACGAAGAGCTGCCCGCTGTTGGAACCCTGAAGGATGGGAATCCAGGCCACGCTCACACCAATTAGCACCACGATGACCAGCCTGCGGGCAGCAACAGGTGGCTCTGGATACCCTTCCTTAGCCCCTCCATCTGCCTCTGGTCACTAAGACTCTTCCATCTGTGCCCTGAGGCCCAGCTCCTGGCCGCTGGCCTGTTCTACCAGGAACAGGGTTTGTTCCCCACCCTTCTAGGGCTTCCTGCACCTGTAGGTCCAGTCCCTGGGTCTCAGTGCTGCCTCCTCCTTCCCCTGGGGGGTCTCTGTTGAGTCAGTCCTTAGGGCTCCCTTGTGCCTGGAGGACTCCCACAAAGCACCTGTTCCACCTTCATGTGCACATCAACCTGGGTAACCCCTTGTGTCTCGACTGGAAGCTCCAGGAGGGCAGGAGGCCCTTCTCTTTTTTTCGTGACTAAATATTTGGGGATTGCAGGAACGAGCTGCTCCCCTCACCATGGGGCCAGACTGACCTCATGGTGGTTCCTGAACACAGCATGTTCTCTCCAGCTGCCTGGCCTTTGCAGAAGCCCAGCCTTCCAGCATATTCCTCACCCCCTGCAGCTCTATGCGACAGACCCCCACCCACCGTAGGACAATTTCCATCCTAGGAAGTAAGAGTTGAAGCCAGGCGGCCTGGGCTGGGGCTGGGGCTGGAGCCTGGACTCCTCAGATTTGAAGCTTAAGTCCTTTTGACTGGCCCGTGGGAGACCTGTCCCCTTCCTGGTGGCAGCCACTCTCCCTGTTTGTCCAAGCACCCCTTCACTGCCAGGCTTCATTCCTTCCCTGGACAAAACGCTTGGGAGCACAGCACCTCACCAGAAGCCCTGACTCAGCAGGGAACCGTGCCTGGCTTTGGCCCAGTGCTCAGACCAGCAGAGAAAACAATCAAGGATGCAACCCAGCGGAAGCTGTAATCCAGGAGGGCTTCCAAGAGGGGCGTGCCCAGAGCCTTGAAGGGGTGTGGGACCCGCTAAGGAGACAAGCAGAGGCGCTGCGTCCCACCTGCTCCTTCCTGGCAGAGCACCCCTCAACCCTATGTCCTGAGCCAGTCGGCACACAAGGTGGGAGGTGGTGGGACCTGTTGGATTCCCCAGCAGGGCAGCAGGGTGTCAGGGGCTGTGTGTGCAGCCGGGATGCTCCTTCTCTGTGGCTCTTGGCCTACCTGCCTGACTTCCTTTTTTCCCCTTCTAAGCCTGAGGGAGAGGGTGGAGGAAGGAGGTGCCATCTCGATTAAGGCTAATTAACCCTTACCCTGGTAGCGGCAGGTGCTACCTTCTTCAAAGGCCCAGGCGGACATCCATTAACACGGCCGCCCCACCCTCTCACACAAGGCTCAGCAGCTGAGGGCCCTAGGCCTCTGCAGCCAACGGGCTGGGCCTGGGCCCTCCCCTTTCTCTTGCCCTCCAGAGTTTCCTTTCTGATTCAGCCACCAGCATCAGCCAGCGGGACCCCCAAACCCAGAGGCTAGAATGCCTCTCTCCCACTTCTCCTTAGTAAACCCTCCTGGGCTCCACATGGGATTCTCCCTACCCATCCCATCGTCAGGAGGAATGGGTCCCTCCATCACGCTCCCTGGGGGATGCTGCCTCGGTCACAGGGAAGGTCTTCAAGGCAGGGGGTGGGAGCTGAGCTCTTGGAGTCCTCCACAGTGCCCAGCTGGCCACAGGGTCCCAGGAAGGGGACAGAAGGGGAGGGCAGGGGAGGGCAGGGAAAGAACGGAGGTTCTGTAGGGGGGCAGGAAGAGATGGGAAGGAAGGCCAAGGCATGGTTGGAGGGAGTGAGCCGACACAATCAGGGACCAGGTTGGGACTCTGGCTTCAGGCTCAGCAGGGACAGGACCATCCTGGGCCACATAGCAGCTGAAGAACCACAGGAGGAACAGGGGACCCAGAGGGGGAGAGGCAGGCAGGGGGCTGGTGCCCAGGATGAAGGGACACGGAGGACCCTGCACCAGGGAGAAGAGAGTCCGCCTGTCTGCAGAGGAGCGCGCTCACACTCGCCCGCCTTCTGACAGGTCCCAGCAGGCCCTTCTGACAGAAGCCCCATCTGTTTTGCATCACTGGGACAACCGCCTGAAGCTCTGGGGAAGATCCCACCCCAGGGACAGGCACCCTGAGCTCCTGGATAGAGGCTGCTCTGTTGACAAGGGTAGTGCCCGAAGGATGCCCCCCCACCCCTGCTAGCAGGTCGGGTTCGCAGGCTTGGAGGGACAGGAACAATGGGGCCAGAGGGGTGGAGAGGGTCCAGACAGGCAGGCGTGCACCCTTAGAGACACCTAACCCAAGACCAAGTACCTCCCTACAGGATTTCCAAGGACCCAGCTGGGCATGGGGATATGGGGATGGGCCAGACACTGAGCCTGTCCTCACAGAACACCCAGCGCCCCCACGGGAAGGAGGTTTGGGAAGATCATTTGGTCTTAGAAAGACCCCATGTGCTGTGGGAAGAATCTGCGGGAATGGGAAGAGGGCTCGTTCCTTGGATGGGGATATCAGAGTGGGCTCCGTGGAGGAGGGGGTACTTGGGCTGAATCTAGAAAAATCAAGCTGAGTCGTTGAGGTGAAGGAGGAGAGGACGAGCAGGGCTAGTGGAAATGGTCAGAGCTCAGTGGGGCGGGGGTATGGAGGCCAGGGGGACCCCTGTGGCTTGAGTATGGGCGTCCTGAGTGCTAGATCAGGGACCCTCTATGAGGCAGCTAAAAACCATCAGGAAGGGTAGGGGCCCACATTTTGGGGGAGACAGAGAGACCTCTAGTATGGTTGGGGAGGTAGTTCACCCCAGCAGATAGGGTGAGAGGTGCATCCCGGATGAGAGCCGTGACCCTGAGGGGCTGGACAGAGGAGCCACATGGGAGGTGGGATGGATACAATATCCTCCTCTTTTCTCCCCTCCCTCCCAGCCTTCTCTTTCCTCCACCAGGCAAACTCCTACACATCCCTCAAAGTCCTCCTCTGAGGGGGCGGGGGGCTCGTGAGCTGGTCATGTGGCTGCACGATTCCGCTGTCTCCTGACTCCCTGGCACCCCACCACCCGTACCGTCCCACCATCAGCAGCTCCCGCTCGCTAGCCCAGGGCCGCAGCCGCTTCCAGATGTCCATGGTGAAGAGAGTGCTGCTGCTGTTGAAGATGGAGGTCAGCGATGACATGAGGGCGGCCATCATCACTGCAATCATCAGCCCTCGCAGACCTGGACACGGGGATGGAGACTCACTGGGAACCCCGCCTGGCCCTGGCCCTGGTCCTCAGAGGCCCTCCTGCCTGGGCCCTGGGTTCTGCGGCGGGTTTGCTGTGGAACTCCTTGGCATCCCAAGGACCCTCTCTCTTCACTGGAGGGACAGGAACAATGGAGCCAGAGGGGTGCAGAGGAATAGTGGGGCCAGAGAGGCTGGCTCAAAGGAAAGCCAAATAAGTGGTCATGCCCCGCTGGTGTTGTGGGGTCCACACCGTGAGACCCCCCCAAAATAGGAGGCCCCGGGGGAGGCCAACCAATGCTGAGCTAGAAGGACTTCTGCACTCACTGCCTGAGCTCGCAGCTTGCTGGCCACTCAGGCCCTGACTGCATACTCCCCGACCGTGGGTGTTATTACCAGCCTCTCATTTCTGCAGTCTGTGAGCTGACGAGGCACTTTCACACCCATGACTTCATCCCGGGGCAAGATCATTAGCCCCGTTGGACAGATGAGGAAATGGAAGCTCAGGGAAGGGAACAGAGTCTCCCAGGGATTCACAGCGGGGCCAGAGGCAGAACCTGGGGGCGGGGTGGGGGTGGTGAAGAAGGCTTGGGGTGGGAATCCTTGGGTGGGAGGTCACACCCTGGGCAGGGCACATGCCTCATCCCCATGCACGGTGGCCCAGGCTCTGGAATTTCCTGCCACTTCCTCTGTGTGTGTGTGTGTGTGTGTGTGTGTGTGAGTGTGTGTGTGTGTGTGGCAGGCCCCAGCAGGCATGGTGAGTCCCCTCTGGTTGGCTCTGTGGGAAACAGAGGAAGATTCCCAGAAGCAGGAGAAAGACATGCTATTATTGTCAGGCAAGGGGTGAAGAAGTTCCCTAGCAAAGCCAGGGAGGTCTTCTGGCAAAGGCTTCTGGGAGTAAGAGGCTCAAGAAAGGTCTTAAATAGGGGAAGAGGCACTTGACTGTGAACTCATTTGCTGTGTGGCTTCAGGCTGCTCTTCCATCCCCCTCCACCTCAGGGCTTTGCTCCAGGTCTGTCTCCAAAAACTCCTGCAGTTCTACCTCTTGCCCAAAGATGGGTCTGACAGGGGACCCCTCCCCTGAGGGCTCAGCCTTACGGGTGCCATTTATTTAGCCTGCCTGGTATGTCTGGTCTTGACTATGCATCTGACTTGCTGTGTGACTCCAGACATCCCACAAGCCTTTCTGTTTACTGACTGGGATGGAGCTCATAGGAAAGTTAGTTAAATTATGGTTTTTCTCCCCAAAACATTTCTCAACCCTCCACATCTTGCTCAGGGAGGTAGATAAACTTGGGACTTATTCGACTTCTCAGAGAGCTCAAGGACTAGAGAGGAGTGTTGGGTGTTGCACTAGGGACTTAGTGGGTCCCCCTCCCCAGAGTGGATGGGGCAGGTGAAGCCCAGAGGTGGGAACCCACAGAGTGGCCACAGGTCTTAGGCCGGGCAGCTTCCCTGGGTTATTATGTTTAATCCCAGCAACAAAGCTGAGGGGTGGGTAGATGTCATTATCTGCAATTTACAAATGAGGACACGGAGTCTCCAAGCAGGCAAGTGGCATGCCCTAAATATTTCAGCCAGCAAGTAGCAGGGCCACTATCTGTTCCCAGGCCTGTGCATTGCTGTCCCCTGGGCCTGGACTCTGCTGGAGGAAGGGAGGAGCAGGGGTGGGCCTGACTGGAAGACCAGGAAGCCTCTGGAGGCAGGAGCCGAGGACCTGATCATCCAGAGGAGAGGCTCGGGCTGCTCAGAAAGCTGACTCTCCTCTTTGCTTCAGCTGGAACCTCACACAGCCATTGCTCAGTTGCTTTGGCTTGCACACCTCCAGTGACAAGGAACTCAGTACTCCACATCGGACCAGCAGGGTTGCTGCCACCCGGAGAAATGTGGAAACAGCCAGACCTGCCCATGTTTCTACCCAGGAGCCTGCAGGATCCTGGGGGAGGCAGAGGATGGGGCTTAGGCTTGCAGATACAGAGGGACTGGGGTCTGAATTTCTAATCTTGGCAAAAAAAAAGCAGAGGACCTGGGTTTGTGTCTCAGTTACTCTGTAACCTCCAAGAAGTCACTTACCACTCTCCGTGCCTCAGTTTCCCCATGTGTAAAATGGAGCCAGTAACTAGTATTACATGGGTTGGTAAAAGAGCTTGTTATCAGAACATAAGAGAGAGAGAGAGAGTACAGTATGGGTCAGAGTGACTAGCTCTAGGGGAAGATAAACCAGGTTCAAATTCTAGGCTGGTGGCCTACTTGCCATGTGACCTTGCAAGGTCACTGCACCTCTATGGATCTCAATTTATTGTTATTTATTCAGTCGTACTTGGGGTTGAACCCAGGTGTGCCCAACCAACTAAATGAGCTACACCCGGCTCTTTTTTTGAGACAGGGTTTCCCTAAGTTGCTTAGGGCCTCGCTAAATTACTGAGGCTGTTCGTGAACTTTTGATCCTTCTGCCTCAGCCTCCAGAGCCACTGGGATTACAGGCGTGTGCCACTTTGGCAAGAATTTCTCCATCTTTAAAATGGCGCTGCTACTAACGGTACTGAGGGGGTCTAGAAGAGGAAGTGAGTTCACCCCATGGGAAGCGTGGACAGGCCTGACACCCAGGTACCAACGTTTTGGTTCATGGTTACTTCTCTCTAGAAGAAGGGCCTCCCACTCGATGTCACACAAAGTCACACTGAATCCAGGGTGACCTCCACCGCCCCCCAGCGCCCTTCGCCCTCATGGGGCCTGAGGTTCCATCCCCACTCCAGCTCTGCTCAGACCTCCCAACCCCACCCAGCCTCACCTATGGGCATCAGCTCCATGACCAGCTTGGGATAGGCGACGTTGGAGCAGCCGATCTCAACCCCACAGGCCCGCAGGCACTCGGACGGCACCACACAGCCAACGTCATCTGCAAGACACAGACATTCGGTGCCCATGTCTGCTATACACCATCCCTTCTCTCAGACATGGGCACCTGGGGTGGGAGAGACCAGGCCAGGGTCGCAGTTTGGCTCAGACCTGCTCTGTTCACCACCCCTGACTACTTATTGCTTGATGAGCCCTGGGGAGAGGATGGCATTGGGGACCCTTCTGGCTCTTGACATCCTTGCTCCCTTGCCCTTCTTTCAGTTACCCCTACTCCCCACCCCCAGGCCAGGGGGCTTGCCTGTGGCCATGCCAGCAAGAGCAGCCAGCCTCCAGAGCTTATTGGGCTGCTGGTCTTCCCTGTCCCCTCCACCTGCCCCCAGTCTTTTCCATAAAGGGGGAAATGAGAGGCCTGTGGTAGGGGACTTGCCTGTGGCAGGGTCCTGCCCAGCTCCTTAGCTGCCCCTGGTTTTTCTGGGGATACTAGGGATTGAACCCACTGAGTCACACGCCCAGCCCTTTTTATTTTTTTATTTATTTAAAATTTTTTTTTTACCTTTATTCTATTTATTTATTTATTTTTATGTGGTGCTGAGGATCGAACGCAGGGCCTCGCACATGCTAGGCAGGCAGTCTACCGCTGAGCCACAACCCTAGCCCCTATTTTTTTAATTTTTATTTTGAGGCAGGATCTTGCTCAATTGCTTAGGGCCTAAGTTGCTGAGGCTGGCCTTGAACCTGCGATCCTTCTGCCTCAGCCTCCTGAGCCACTAGGATTACAGGCATACGCCTTGGCACCCAGCTACCCTGGCTTTTGTGTTCAGTCAGCAATACACTGGAGGAGGGGACTTCGGAGGTCAGCTTGGAGCCGCTTGCTTGGGCGTGTAAGTCACTCCTCTGCAGCTAGCCCAACCCGAGCAGGACCATGGTGAAAGTTCAGGAGTCCACACGGCCTGCCTGCTTGACCTTTCCTGTTGTAAGGTGTAGGGCCAAAGCCTGTCCATTCCCCTATCCCCTACTGTGGGGATCAGGCTGCAGGCCAGGCCACTTCCTGCTGCTGTGCCAACTCCAACATGATCAGCCCTTCTGACCCTCTGGCATCAGAAACACCTGACCCTCTGGTTCACATCTATCTTCTCTCCCTTGGCCCCGGGGTTCAGGACCCATAGGCCTCCCCTTCTGCTCCTACTCCCCAGCCCCACACCCACTGAGGCCTGTGCACATTTTCCCCAAAGCCTCACCCCAACACTGATACCCTCACTTACTCCAAGATGTCCTCAGAAGTCCCCTCTTCCAAAAAGGAAAAGAAAGGTGTGTGTGCGTGTGTGTGTGCCATAAAAATCAAAGGGAGCTCAGTGGTGCAGAGGAAGGAGAAAGAGAAATACTGGGGAATGTTATTGGCCGAATTATATTGTCATGTTGTGTGCATGTACAAATATGTGACAACAAGGTCCACCATCATGTACAACTCTAATGCATTATCAAAAAAATATGGGGAAAGATCAAATTAAAAAAAAAATCCCCTGCTCCATCTAAATAAAACCATCCTGCTCTCCCTTTGGTCCTCTCACTCCTCATGGCTTTCCCTCATCTCTTGTCACCCGTGGGATGTCTTGGACATGTTTATTGGGGCTCGTGTCTCTTTCCTTGGGTGGATGAGCCTGGTGAGGTGGGGACCGTGCACAGTGGCCAGCCGTTGAATGCATGGGTGAATTCATGAATTTAAGGCTCACCCGAGACTTGGACAGGACCTTAAATCCAGGTATTCCTAGCAAGGTGCTGAGCAGAGTTCCTGGCCCTGCATTCAGACTCCTGGGGCAGTTGTTGTTGCAGAGCTGTGGCCCTCTGTGTGTCCCCTCTGGGCAGTCATGGATCTCCTGTGCTCTGCAGGACCAGATATCCAGGCTTCCTGAATACTAGCCCTGGCAACACCCGGGTTACCTCCGGCTCAGAATGTCCTCCTTCTTCCTCGTCCCACCACGGCCAGCCTCCCTCTCCTCTCTCTCCGACCAGTCCCACACCTTGGCTTACCCTCCCACACCTCTGGGGCCAGCCCTGCCCACTTCCCTCTGCAACTGCCCCAGCTCCATTGTCTCCTGGCTCCTTTCCAGATCAAAGCTCTCACGACACAGCTGACTTCTCAGGAACCTCCCTCAGACCCCCAACCCTTGGAGCCCAGAACATTCTGGGAAAAAAAAAAGTCCTTTCTATGACATTCAAGGCCTTTGAAAATAGGTCCCAGAACCTCTGTCCCGACACCCCAGCACCTGTGCACCTGCCACCCTGACCTGCCTTGTATTTTCTCAAACACGCCCAGCACTTGGACGCCTCCAGGCTTCTGCAGACGCCATCCGCCTCCCAGGGCAGCACCCTCTTTTGAACACCCACCACCACCCTTGTTTACCTCTTGCTTCGAGGCCCATTGCAAAGGTCTTGTCCTCTGAGGCCCTCCCTGGCAACCCCTCAGCAACCCCCCCCCAGCACCCCAGGCAGGGGCAGGTTCTTCCCTGGGGCTTCTAAGACCAAGGTCTGAATCACTGGTGTTTGTTTACATATTCTACTCCCCCACCAGACCTAGAGCTCGTCAAGGGCAGACACTAGGTTTGAATCATCTCCCGGTTCCAGTATCACCCAGCCCAGGGCTGGGCCCGGAGGAGACAGTTGATGAACAACTGTTGAATGAATGAATGAGTAAGTGAATGAATGGTGGGGGGGAAGGAGGAAAGGGAGAAAGGATCCTAGAAAGAGTCATGAAGGAGTTCAAGCGCGGCTTGATCCAGCTTCCTATCCCACCTTCTTTACCCTCACAAATGTTGTAGGATCAGAAAGGGCAGAATTGCCCGATCTCAGATCCAAGACCCTTGTCCGGCCACTGAGGCCACAAAGGTCCAGGATTCAGAGAGCAGATAGGAGCCCCTACTGAGAGACTCTGGGCCTGGACGGGCTGGCTTGGGCACTGGAGTACCCAGCCCTCCTGGGAGGGACAGGTGAAGCATCATAGCCACATAATGGCTCAGAAAGCCAGAGTCAGGAGATTCTTCCCAAGTTTATTCAGCCCAATTCAGGCTCCTGGCATGGGTACCGCCTCTGGGCATTACAGGTTGGACCAAGTGTTTGTGCTGAACACAAACTGCTTTATGACCGTGGCAGCAGCATGTCGCCATTTAAACACAGTCCCCTGGCATGCTAGCTCGGGGCGAGCAGCCTGGGGCCACAGAGAGTCGGGTAGCTGGGCCTGCAGGCTTTCTCCTGCACGCCTGGGAGTTCCCTGCCAGGCTCTGGTCTAGCGATGGCAGCCGGCTCTGCCAGGACCCACACCAGAGCCCTGGAATTTCACCTCTCCTTGTCCCCAACACCCTTCTTCCCCACGGCCAAGGCTGAGTCCAGCTCAGTTACTGAGTAAACTGGGCCATATTCTCGCTGCCCCTTCTAATGCACCCCTCTTCTAAACCCACCAGTCTCCCTGTGCCCCTCTCTGCTCCCAACCATCTGTGGCTCCCAGGACCCAGCCAGGGGATCTCCAGGCTCCCAATGTGTCAGTCAAGGCTTCCTACCCTCCTCATTACCCTTGCCCCCACCCGATTCCACCCAAACTTCTGGAGAGCACCCCAGGCTCTCTTGGACACCTCTGGGTCACGGTGTTTGTTGTTAACTTTTCCCTCCTTCATAAGCCCAATACTAATTCCTGTCAATTCAGAGATGTCTGGGCTTCCCAGGTTTGGGGGCAACATCCTCCATAGCACCAATAACTTTGTAACCTCTGTGTGTCCTGCCTCTGTATCACATCGTGATTATGGATATCCTGGAAGAAGCCTGGGTCCCAGGAGTGCCCAGCACATGGCAAAAAGTGGTAACTTGTGCTAGTGTTTGTTGACTGACTGCATGATTCTCTTCCAAGGAGGCTACTGGACATACCACCTTGAGTGGGTGTCAAGGTGCTCCTTATGCCTGGTTCAGGCCTGGAAGCCAGCCCAGACACTGGTGGGCAGCAGGCAGCAGGAGAAAGACAAACACACCCCAACCCAAGACCAACTTTTCCAGCCCCTTGTCATGTGATCCTGAGTGATTATTTAAGGTCTCTGAGACTAAAATCTTGCTCTATGAAAACTTTTTGGGGGCTACCTATATTCCCCAGACGTAACCTAAATTCCATACCATCTACAAAAAACGAGCTCAAAATTTATCACAGAATTAAATGCATAATGTTAACAAGGATCCAATTTGGAACAATGGGAGAAAAATCTTCAGGACCTAAAGCTAGGCTGAGTTCTTGGATGTGACACCAAAGCATGATCCATAAAAGGAAAAACTGACACATGGAAACTCATTAAAATTCGAAACTTCTCTGTAAACAAAACCAAACAGCCCTCATCAGTAAAAGAAATGGTCCATTAGAAGATGGGCAAAGGACACAAAGAGACATTTTGTCAGAGGGCATGCGGATGGCGAATAAGACCTAGAAGTTCAATAACAACCCTTAGGAAAGTGCGAACTCAAACTGCAGGGAGAGGGTCAGGACCCAGGCATAGTGGCCCAAGACTGTCATCTCCGAGACTCAGGGACCGAAGGATCCCAAGGAGAAGCCTTCAGGAGGATTGCAGAATCAAGGCCAGCCTTGGCAACCTAGTGAGATCTGGTCTCAAACTAAACTCAAAAAGGGCTGGGGAGGGAGTTGAGTGGTAGAATGTCCCTGAATTCAATATCCAGTACTGTGGGGGGAAAGTGGTAACACCAGGCTCTGGCAAGGATGAGGAGGAATTGGATCATTTGTGCATCGTTGGTGGGAATGTAAGGTGGTGCAGCCACTCTGGAAAACAGATGAGCAATTTGTTTATACAACTACCAGGAATTGTACTCTGGGCCACTTATCCCCAAGAAATAAGACCTTCTGTTATATACAGTAGCTTTATTTGTAACGATTCAAAACTAGAAACAGCTACTATGTCCTCAACAGCTGAAATGTTTAAAAGGACAAGAATGGGCAGTGTGACTGCTGATGGATCCTCAGTTTCTTTTTTCCTTTGGATACTGGGGATTGAATCC